TGTAGTCATGAAAAATAATAAAGCAGACAACAAATGATGTAAAGTGTCTTAGTAAGGTCTTGGGCCATGAGGAACCACCAGAACAGCTTTGATGCATCTTGGCATGTATTCGAAACGTCTCTGTACATGTACTGGACACCGTTCTTGCAATAGATATTTCCTCAACTGGTGTTCTGATAGTGATATAGGTAATGAAATACAGAGGAACACATCTGCATTTGCCTTGTGGCATGTAGCGATAGTAACATATATCACAATGTTGTTTATCATGCGCTCTTCACCCCACAGGATGTGTTTAGGTTGGGAAACATGTTTGTGCTCCTAAGATAAAATCTGCATGAGGCCTTCTTCTAAAGTGCCTAAGTGTAATCTGATTAAAGTGTATGACCGTCTATTAAATTTGCACGAAATACAAATTTTTCCTTTGACCGCTACCAGTATGTGATACACCACAGCAACATGCCAGTGATTATTTTGTGCTTCATTTATAGTCCCATATAATGTAAGGGAACATCCAACACAACAAGTCAGTTCCTGGTATCAATTATCTTAAAGCAGCTGTAAACAGTCCTTTCCTCGCCAGCCTCTCTTTTCTCTCTGTTGAAGTTGAGCAGACTTAAGCTGCAGCTTGTCATCTTACTGAGAACCTGTAAATCATGACAGCCCCCATGCTTGGATCGTGACACATCACTGACGCTGGAGACGCCTTCCATAAATGTTAAATACAAGTGTCCTTACAGAAGACATCGCCGTATCACCAGAGAATGTTTTCCTTGTAGACACGTACACTACTTTTTCATTTGATTTGATTTTCTATTCATTTATTTATTTATTTTTATTTCCGGTCTGTTGATCATTAGGTTTAGATTATTCTCAGCACCTGCCCTGTTTATTACTGTTACTATAGAAACAGTAACAGAATGTGTGCATTAATATAAAACCAAAAATGCAGTCATAGAGAATTAATCAACACTTTCTGACCAATACAGAGAAGTGAGAATTCACCAGTACTGTGGTATAAATCTTCCATCCATCCATCCATCTTCTATACCGCTTACTCCTTTTCAGGGTCGCGGGGAGCCTGGAGTCTATCCCAGGGAGCATCGGGCACAAGGTACACCCTTGACAGGGTGCCAATCCATCGCAGGGCACAATCACATATACACTCACACACCCATTCATACACTACAGCCTACCATGCATGTCTTTGGACTGGGGGAGGAAACTGGAGTACCCGGAGGAAACCCCCGCAGCACGGGGAGAACATGCAAACTCCGCACATATACAGTGGTGTGAAAAAGTGTTTGCCCCCTTCCTCATTTCCTGTTCCTTTGCATGTTTGTCACACTTAAGTGTTTCGGAACATCAAACCAATTTAAACAATAGTCAAGGACAACACAAGTAAACACAAAATGCAATTTGTAAATGAAGGTGTTTATTATTAAAGGTGAAAAAAAATCCAAACCATCATGGCCCTGTGTGAAAAAGTGATTGCCCCCCTTGTTAAAACATACTATAACTGTGGTTGTCCACACCTGAGTTCAATTTCTCTAGCCACACCCAGGCCTGATTATTGCCACACCTGTTCACAATCAAGGCATCACTTAAATAGGAGCTGCTTGACACAGTAAGGTCCACCAGAAAATCCTTAAAAGCTACACATCATGCCGAGACCCAAAGAAATTCAGGAACAATTGAGAAAGAAAGTAATTGAGATCTATCAGTCTGGAAAGGGTTATAAAGCCATTTCCAAAGCTTTGGGAATCCAGCGAACCACAGTGAGAGCCATTATCCACAAATGGCGAAGACATGGAACAGTGGTGAACCTTCCCAGGAGTGGCCGGCCGCCCAAAATTACCCCAAGAGCGCAGCGACGACTCATCCAAGAGGTCACAAAAGACCCCACAACAACGTCCAAAGAACTGCAGGCCTCACTTGCCTCAGTTAAGGTCAGCGTTCATGCCTCCACCATCAGGAAAAGACTGGGCAAAAATGGCCTGCATGGCAGAGTTCCAAGGAGAAAACCACTGCTGAGCAAAAAGAACATCAAAGCTCGTCTCAATTTCTCCACAACACATCTTGATGATCCCCAAAATTTTTGGGACAACATTCTGTGGACCGATGAGACAAAAGTGGAACTCTTTGGAAGGTGTGTGTCCAAGTATATCTGGCGTAGAAGGAACACTGCATTTCATAAAAAGAACATTATACCAACAGTAAAATATGGTGGTGGTAGTGTGATGGTCTGGGGCTGTTTTTCTGCTTCAGGACCTGGAAGACTTGCCGTGATAAAAGGAACTATGAATTCTGCTGTCTACCAAGAGATCCTGAAGGAGAATGTCCGACCATCTGTTCGTGTACTCAAGCTGAAACGAACTTGGGTTCTGCAGCAGGACAATGATCCTAAACACACCAGCAAGTCCACCACCGAATGGCTGAAGAAAAACAAAATGAAGACTTTGGAGTGGCCTAGCCAAAGTCCTGACCTGAATCCTATTGAGATGTTGTGGTATGACCTTAAAAAGGCCGTTCATGCTCGAAAACCCTCTAATGTAACTGAATTAGGACAATTCTGCAAAGATGAGTGGGCCAAAATTCCTCCAGGACGCTGTAAAAGCCTCATTGCACGTTATCGCAAACGCTTGGTTGCAGTTGTTGCTGCTAAGGGTGGCACAACCAGTTATTAGGTTTAGGGGGCAATCACTTTTTCACACAGGGCCATGATGGTTTGGATTTTTTTTCACCTTTAATAATAAACACCTTCATTTACAAATTGCATTTTGTGTTTACTTGTGTTGTCCTTGACTATTGTTTAAATTGGTTTGATGTTCCGAAACACTTAAGTGTGACAAACATACAAAGGAACAGGAAATGAGGAAGGGGGCAAACACTTTTTCACACCACTGTAGAGCAATGCTGGGAATCGAACCTCTGACCCTGGAGGTGTGAGGTGAACATGCTAAGCCACCGTGCGCCCGGTATAAATATGGTATATTTAGCTAGGAAACGCGCAATATAAAAAAGTTTTTTTAACATTAAGGTCTGTATTTTAAGAAATGACATTCATGCTCTTCTTTCTTCTACAAAACTGAACCGGCGAGTTCTGTTTAAACACAGAGCAGTACAGGATATGAGCTCTAATATGAGGTGGTCAGTGGAACAGAGCAGCTGTGATGTGATACATGGGTTAAACAGAAGGCGCTGAGCCAGACAGGATCACCGTGGAGGTCTGGCTGGCCTTGAGAACGAGATGGGCCTTTTTTCCTGGAGACTCTGCTATGACACCGCGTCAAATCTTCACGGCCTTTCTTTAATCTCTGCGAGTTTTCCGTCTTCCTGTCAGTGTTTGTGTCCACAGCTTTAAAGAACTTTGTATTTTTTTTATCGCAAAAATATTGTTTCAGCTGCTTCGTCGTCTCCTTTTTCTCACCTGGGCATCATAAAATCCGTCTTTGTTCTTCAAACAGACGAGCAAGTACACTCAACTTCGGTGCATTTTTGCATGCTGCAGAGGTCAGTGTATTGTAAGGTTGATCAGTCTGGGTTTCTGAAATGCTCCGGTTTGATTCTATGCGCACAAGCGTTGTTGTTTTTTTTTTTTTCCAAAACATGTTCACTGATCTGCAGGAGAATCAGGGTGTGATGAGCTTACTGACAGATCTGGCGATTTAAAACACTCTCTCTTGTACTTTTTCAGGTGGCTTGCCTCACTCATATCGCTGCGAACTACCTCAACGCAGGAAAAGAGGCCAGAAGATGGGGAACGGCTCACGAGAGTATCGTCCCGTATCAGGTAAATGCATAGGGTTTCGTGATTATAATAATAGGCCAGAAGTGCTTCACGTAAAGGATGCCAATAAGTTTAAGGATGGAATAAATAAAACATTTGAACATATTCAAAATCTATGTAAAAAATTAAGCAAAGCATGTGTGATAGATAATAATGCATAAAAAAAATCTAGGGGAAAATGGTAAAAACAACTCTTAATAAATAGCAATGTTAATAAAAGCCACGATTTTTATAAGCACTGGTGTTTCTGTCACAAATAGTGCGTTTAATGACACGAACCAGGAATATTTATAGGACCTTTATTCCCATTATGCTCAAGGACACTTGTCCAGATTTTAGTTATGATGTAAGAAACAATTACTGATGACTGAGCAGCAGTTGATCCTAGGGATTGAGAGTAGAATTGCATCGGCTGAACAACGTGCTCGAGTTATATTGAGATATAAACGCCACAGTCCGATTGCCCGATTCAGATTATTCAGATTCCTACCCCTGGAATATCCTTGTTTTAAGCGGAAATCTGTTGCGTGTAAACACCTCATTCAGAAAATCCACTGAAAGGAGATGTGCATTCTCAGTCCACAAGGAATTGTGGGTGCGAACATATTCTTAGCTATAGGCTAGGTATTTAGGAATAGCAACTCCGGCGTACTTGCAACAACCACGTATACAGGAATATTACGATGCCTGTACGAATATAAACATATAGACCTTAACCAGAATTTGATGTGCATGTAAACATAGTCAATTGTAGTCAATATAAAAGTGAATAGGCAGCCGGTGTAAATTGAATATAAAAAATAATAATGATAATAATTTTCTTCAGCTGCTTCAATGTAAGGAAATCCTGTCAAAACGAAGAGCCTACTAATAGCATACATTTCTCATTTGAATAGTTCATCACTTCTTAGATGAAACGAGTGCTTTCTCAGTGAACCCTTACGCTGTCTACTGCTAATTTCAAATAGCTATGAGTATACTTCTAGCTCATTCCACACCCAGCACACACACACACACACAGACACACACACACTCATTCATTGTTCTTAATTTTCTTTGTGGAATGGCAGTGCTGTCTTAAGGGCGTGTGGTTGTGTGGCCCAGATGTGACGTATGGAGTTGTTTGATTCCTTTGGTCTTTATTTATTTATTTTTTTTAACATTTAACGGCAGCATGCTACTAGAAGGGTACGTTCGGGTACTTACGGGGGGCAGTGGTGGCTTGGTGGTTAAGCCTCTCGGTTACTGATTGGAAGGTCGGGGGTTCAAGCCCCAGCATTGCCATGCTGCCACTGTTGGGCCCTTGAGCAAGGCCCTTAACCCTTTCTGCTCCAGGGGTGCTGCCAGGGGCTCCTGACATGCTGGGGTATACAAAGAAAAGAATTTCATTGTGTATATGTGATCAATAAAGACTCATTATCATTTCTTAGGAGCTGCCATATAGTCTTTGGCCCTCAGGACACGGAGCAGGAATCCTTTTGTATGTACTCCTCAACCTGCCCAAGCACTACCATTCAATAAAGGTGGAAGGGAAAGAAGTGGTGTCTCTGTTAGATTGAGGAGGGATTTATAATTCCATAATAAATCCCATTTCTCCTTCAATGCATTGCTTTTAATTTTGTGTGTATCAGTCAGAGAGGCTGGGGGCCGGAGGACTGTTTTATAATGAGTGATGGCATGTGGTGTAATTCAAGATTTACAGCAAACCTAAGTCTGACTTGTTTTCATTTCCCTGTTGGCTTTGAGTCAATTCAGAAAAGATGGTTTCCAATAACAGCCATATTTATGTGGAGTGTCGAGCATTGGTTTTTCTTGATCAGACTGCAGCAGCGCTTTAAAATTGACGCTGTGCCTATGCACATTCACTTCTTTTTCTTTCTTTCTGAAAGGCAGATCCAAGTCTTCCGAATGTCTGATGAAACTTCCGAATGAAACCGATGTTTGGTGGCATGGCGTGGGTGTTATTGGGAAATCTGCTCTCGGACAGTTAGGTAATGGGATGGGTGTGTAAATAAATTCCTATGGTTTAGTACGATTTAATACAGCAGTTGTTATGTTAAAGGTCTATTAATATATTATATCTAATTCTGCCCTATGGTTCAGGGGCCATTGAGCATGTTGGTTGGAATAAAAGCCAAGTCAGTTCTTATACTAACGCATATGCGAGTCCTCAGGAGCATGAATCTTTCTCAACACACTTTTATTTCCCACCATGAAATAAGACACAGGGTTCAGATGAGGCCTAGCAGATGCTCTAGTTCTAACTTGAGCTTGATTACTGAATAAATTCCAGTGAATCCTCATCTGCGAATGTTTTTGACTGATTTGATAAGTATTGGATTGTGACTTAATCATAATCCTAGAGTTCGTGTTGGTGTAAGAGCCTGGCTTTGTGTTGAGTGGAATAAACTATTCCCTCAGCCATAGCTTCGCTTCTGAAACCCTAGACAGACGAACAGCTATCTGACGGTTTTACCTTTCAGCTCAGCAATAAAGCAGATGTTTTATGCATCTGACCTGGCCAGGGCCTTTTTTGCATCTTGTACACCATATTTGTATGACAGATCAGCTCTGAAAAACACGGCATTGAAAATTTCACTCTGGTATTTTTTGGGCACATTTCTGAGTTTCGACTCCTGATATCTTGGACTGGTCTTTATTTCATGCTGCTCTGTAAATCAGCAGCGGTGTGATACAGCAGGTCACTGTGTGCTCTTTAATATGCTGCATGAGTCTGTCCATCTGTCTCCCTGCTGACGGTTTGGCTGTTCTGCTTTACCTGGACCACAGTGCTGCACAGAGTTACAGCAGTGTGTGTGTGTGTGTGTGTATGTGTGTGTGTGTGTGTGTGTGCGCGCGTGTTTCTCAACCTGCTCTGTTTAAACTGTCAAGGGCTTTAGATCAGTGGCTGCTTTTTTTCAGGCTGCTCTCTCTCTCTCTCCCCCACCCACCCCTCTCTTCATGACTCTTTCTCTCCCTCTCTCTTTCTCTCTCTCTCCCCTCCCTCTCAATGACTCTTTCTCTCTCCCCTCTCTCTCTCTCTCTCTCTCATGACTTTTTCTCTCCCTCCCTCTCTCTCTCTCCATGACTCTCTCTCTCTCTCTCTCTCTCTCTTCTCTCTCTATGACTCTCTCCCTCTCTCTATCTCCCCCCCTCTCCATGACTCTTTCTCTCCATCTCACTCTCCATTAGTTCTCTCTCATGCACTGTCAGGCGTTGTTCTTGTGAAAGGCAAGTGTTAGCAGTTATTGGAGTGTGTGATCAGAGTTCTTTTGAGTACTTCATCTTTGGATTTGAGTTGGATTGTAGTCAGTTTTCCTTTTTGTGACCATGAAAACATAAATTGTACACAAATATTTTAAATGCTTAAAAAAACATTTTACACATCACACAGGGCTTTATTTTACTGTCTTGTTTTGTCTTGTTCTGTTCTTTCTTTCCTTGTTATAAAATCACTAGCACATGCCCTTGAGTGGCTTATGCTTTTCTAAAGCAGAAACGCATACAATATGATTCCAAATCCAGTGTTCAAATCAGCAAAAATATATCGATTAACAAATTCTTCCAGCATGTAATATAGTCTGTTAGCAGTAAACATGGGTTGCTACCCAACAAAATGAGCAAAGATTAGGTTTAAAGCCGGTCACATTAATGCTGAATTAAGTTACCGTGAATCTACAGGTTGACAGGGCTCAGCCAATCAGATTTTAGAAACAATATTCTATTTTAAATGAACATTTTAAATGAACAGGTCATCAGCAGATCCAGACCTGCAGTACACACTCATAATTCTGGGTTGGCGATTCGATTCCCGGCCCGGGTGACTCCACATGCCGAAGTGTCCTTGGGCAAGACACTGAAGCCCAAGTTGCTCCTGATGGCAAGTTAGCGCCTTGCATGGCAGCTCTGCTACCATTGGTGTGTGTGAATGGGTGAATGAGAACCAGTGTAAAGCGCTTTGTAGAACCAGAAAGGTTGAAAAAGCGATATATACGTGCCGACCACTTAGCATTTACCATCACCAGTCCTACTAGTTTTCTTTTAGCTGATGAATAATTGCTAGAAGTTATAGAATAATACACTTTAAGCTGTATTGCTGAATAATAAGTCAGCAGTTTAAGATCACTGGAGCAGTTCGGTCCATTGGTTCTCTTCAGTTTAAGGGAACATTATTCCTCCTGGTTTAAGTGGAAATATTTTGCGCTTTATTACCTTCCCAGTGATTGGTGTTCGCCGACAGGCATGATTTGAAAGCGCTCTTCTGCTTTGAGGCCTTGCCATGTGTTCAGTGTTTTATCCATAACACATTTAAATCCTTTTTTAGGCAACAGATTTCTCTGCAGTGTTTATATTTGTTAAAGAGACTCCTAGCCATCACTCATAAAAGCAGTTGTTATGCTGACAGCGCATTTACATCCTCGCCCTCTGTTCTTTCTCTGCAGACTCGGTCTGGGTGAAAGGGGTGATAGCTGGGATTGTGTTTTTTTTTCTGTCTCTCGAGGTTTAGCCTGGGTTTCCCTATCAAGCGGAAGTATGCTGGTTAAACATGCCGTCTAGGGAGACTTATGGGAATTTCATTTTGGAGCGTGGCAGTGGCTTTAAGAGGCGATTTTTTTTACCACTCTGGGACTGTAAGTGACTCCGTGTTGTGTCTTTGTCTGCGTTTGTGGTCTGCGCTCAACACTAAGCAAATGAGTAAACAGAAGACAAAATGGTTTGTATTAAATCTATTTTTACCATGAACAATGTTTTATTATTTTTTTAATAGCATTGTCAGTTTAACCAGATGACAGCTGATATTTTGGACATTAAAGTTATTAAATACTGCAAAAAGTGTAATTGTTTTACACTTTTAAAACTGCCATTTCAAGTACAGTGGGTTCAGAAAGTGTTCAGACCCCTCCCAGTTTTTGCACACCTTGCCGTTAGATTGAATTTTAAAAGAGGACGCAGCAGCAGCCTTTATTTGTCACCTACACATTACAGCACTGTGAAATTTATATAAAACATTACATATCCAGGCTTGTTAGGAAGCCATGGTCTGAACACATGGTCAGCCATGATACAGTGCCGCTGGAGCAGAGAGGGTTAAGGGCCCAACAATGGCAGCTTGGCAGGCTGGGGCTTGAACCACCAACCTTCTGATCAGTAACCCAGAGACTTAACCACCGAGCCAGCACTGCCCCTAAAATGGATTAAATTGACATTTTAACTTTGCCAAGGGCAAAGTGAACATTTTTTTTTTTAAATTGTTGCAGATGCATTATTTGGATAAGTATATAGACACTTTGTTCAGTACTTTTGCTCCTTTGGCAGCAATTACAGCTTTGAGTCTTCTTGGAAAAGTCTCCACAAGCTTTACACACCTGGATTTAGGCATTTTCTTCCATTCTTCCTGATACATCCTGTCAAGCTCCGATTTGATGGAGAGCATGGCTGATCTGCAATCTTCGGGTCTCTCCACAGATATTCTTTGGGGTTCAATCTGGGCTTTTTCTTGGCCGCTCAAAGACATACAGAGAATTTCTGAAATTGTTGTCCTTGGAGCCCACTGTTTTCCAGAGAACATTCAAAGCTTTAGAAGTGGTTACATACCCTTACCCAGCTCTGTCACAGCCTTCTTAAGTCATGTCTAATTGCTCTTACCCCAGGGATGTGGGGGCAGTGGTGGCTTGGCGGTTAAGGCTCTGGGTTACTGATTGGAAGATCAGGGGTTGAAACCCCAGCACTGAAAAGCTGGGCCCTTGAGCAAGGCCAGTACTGTATCATGGCTGACCCTGTGTTCTGACCCCAGTTTCCTGGCATGCTGGGGTATGTGACGAAAAGAATTTCACTGTGCTGTAATGTATATGTGACCAATAAAGACTCATTATCATTATGCACCTGAACTCTCTCTGAATGCTCCTCTAAATGAGATTCCAGTTTTTGATTTTTAATAAAAAATTGTAAAGCATGTTTTTGAATTGTCATTATGGAATATTGTGTTAAGATCAGTGCCACAAAAGTAAATGCCATCAAATTTAAAAATTTTAATTAAATATACACCTCACATTTAGGAGTAAAAATTAAAATACCTATCCATTGTGAAATAAATAAAATAATCACATGATGCATGAGGTTGAGCTATAGTTTAATAATAATAATAATAATGATAATAATAATAGTAATAATAATAATAATAATAATAATATTGATTGTTATTATTATTGTTGTTGTTGTTGTTGTTGTTATATCAACAATACCATTAATACTAATACTACTACTACTACTACTAATAATAATAA